AGCCACAAGTAACCAACAAATAACTATTATTTGTTACTTATTCTTGTAATTATGGTAGGACCAAGGATCCCGGCCATCCTGTTGTGCTAGAGTCCTCATGCAAAACATAGAATGGCTGTGCTGCAAAAAGTTTACAATTCAGTGCTTGAAAAGTGAGTAATTCTGCATCCCATTTCACATCACTGAGATATCTAGCCTTTATTATTTTAGTTTTGTATTGGCAGACTTGCACATTTGAAACAAAACACATCTACAGAATTCATAGAAATCATCATAAGCTTTGCGGTAGCAAATACACTGGAACTATGTTCTTCTTAAGAATTTAAAGAAAATGAGCAGGAACTTAAAAGAAGTTCTTGGATAAGGAGAGGAAACTTCCAGGATTTTTTCCCAAAGGGGCTTGAGAAAATATTAAGGTATGCTTCACGTCAACTGCTATTTGATAAACCCTAGGATATCATGTAAAATAGGGGATTCAAATCTGCATTTGCATGTAAAATAAAAGATCATGCTATCTTGAAGTTCTGCATGATAAAATGATAATGAATGCAATTCTACAAGACTAAACTGTGGGCAATGATAATTGTTAATTATGTATTGACTAAAGTTCCTTCTCCCCACCTAAATAACAGCTCACCAAGCCTATTCACTTTGGGGCTCAAAATATTGATGGGACCAAGAAAACAAGGATATGGCGGATGTAATCAAATGTTTACAACGATATCAGCTAAAGACAGAATGTGAAGGAATACTACCTTGTTGCTTCAACCCTTGCTTCTCCAGAGTCTTTAGATACGTAGAACGGTGTCTCATTATCAAATTCATCAAACACCCCCCACCGAAGATGAGCCCATTCATGTACAAAAACTCTGGCTGTGAAAAAGAAGAACACATGAGCATTCTAAACCCAACACTTTCAAATTTACTTCAGATCAAGTCATGTTAACATACTTTGGTTTAATTTCTTTAATAAGTTCTGCTAATGCAAGCCTGTGTGCCCCTTTCAGAGTCAGGACTTGAAACCCAAATAGATTACCAAGCTTAGATTAACTCCCCGGGATTTTTACAGCCTTTGGTAAAGATTTAATGCCTGCATCTGCATGAAGTGGGCATGTCTACATGTGCTGATATACAGCGCATTAGTCATTTTTAAGGTTCATTAAGGGCAGGGGTCTATACATGCATGACCTTAATGCACTTTAAAATAGTAATTTTAAGTAAATCACACCAAAATTTGATACCTGCATAGAGCAGGTATCAGATTTAGATGTGATTAGTTAAGGTGCCTTAACCTATATGTAGACACCTTAAGGTACCTTGATACTATGTTGACGGACCAGGCCGGAGCTGAGCCCGCAGGGCCACACACTGCTGCCAGCCACTACCAAGAAGACATGGTGAGTGAAGTTTTGCAAGGTGCAGATGCTGAAGCTGGAGTGGCAGTTCTGGGAGCAGTGGTACCTGTCAGTGTGGTAACTGACTTGGGACTAAGTTGCCAGATGGGGCAGGAGGCATGAGGGCTTCTGTCAAGCACAAAGTAAACCCCCCTGCATGACTCTCTGCAGAGTAAGTGGGTAGCACAGCATGGGCATGGCCTTTGCTATTGGCTCCCCCATGCCTCTCTCTTGGGGCAGGTTTGTGGCTGGGCAATGCAGCCCTGCAGGGGCAGGATGTCTTGCTGCCCACCTGGGCTTCAGGCACCCTTACAAGCCTGGGCTGGGGCTCCTGCCCAGGACAGCAGGCAGGCTGGGTCTATCTCCTCCCAGTGCCCAGCTCCCCTCACCTCTGTCCTGGGTAACCGTCTGGTCTTCCTGTTCTAGGGTGATCACAGTGAGCACATCTACATGAGATGTTTACTGTGGAGCTGCCTAATCACCTCTGCAGCAAAGTTGCAATGTCTTCACGAATGGCCCTATTAAGCCACAGTAAACAAACTCCTCTGCAGGTTAGTATTTATAAATACAAGTACTATCCTGAGGCGGAGTTCTTTACTCCAAGGCAGTACATGTGTAGATGCTGATGGGTCTGGCTGCGGCATGAGGGTGCTTCACTACAGAGCTGCCTGCTGCCTAGCCCTTCACTGGAACACCCTTGTGCCCCAGCCAGCAACTCTGCAGCACATTAAGCTGGATTGGAGCAGCCCTGGGCTGGCTGGCTGACCCCCCAGGTCCCCTGCCAGCTGGGGATGCTCCAACCTGGCTTAATGTGCTGCAGTCCTGAGTGCACGTGAAGGCACAGCACCCAGGAGCAATAAACTCTGGCACAATATGCATCAGAGTTTATTGCTTTGGATTAATTTCATGTGTAGATGCCCCAGTGTATTGCAAGAAGACTGCAGCCCAAGGTCCTAGTTAACACTTCTGCCCCCCAAGAGAGTTGATGGCTAGAAACATATAAGTGGGGTGCTCTTTTAAAGAACTGAGAATCCAGACCTACTATGCCTGCAGGTAGCATGGATGGGGAAGAGGAAGGATAGGAAAAATAACACAGAAATGTAGAACTATAAAAAATAATACAGAAATATAGAATTTAGGAGGTTGTAAAGGGGATAAAAGTAGTTTACTTGGAAACTGTAACGAAGTACAGAAATAGCACTGCAACTTCACACACTTTTCTTGCTCTTTTTTACTGAGGCTGTAGAGGCTAATGATGACTAATGATAGAATTGTACAGCAGTAATTGCTGATTCATTACCAATCATGTTTCAGAAATTTTCCTGGGTTAATACATTTTGGAAAGAAGTAGTAGAAAATAAGTTTCTACTGGATTGAGGAATAATATTCAAATTAAGTCTCAGAAGATCAGTGCTCTCATTAGCAACAACAGATGAGAAGAAAAATTCAAGAAAAGAACGTACATAGCAATCAGGGAATTGAAAATCAAACAAAAATCTCCCTCCAGTATCAATGGGAGCAGGATCTGCCCCTTTTCATATTATGATTACTTCAGAGGTAGAAAAATACCCAAGGAATCCTAGTATCTCTGAACGACATGCAGATGAACACCAGCGTTCTTACCTGTATATTTCCAATGATCTTGTCATCTTCTGGTAACTGGAGGTTAATTGCAATAACAATGTCCTCATAGCCACCATTTTTCAGCTGTACCATAGACCCTCTCACCACGAGCAGTAGTTGAAATGACACTAAAAGAATCATACTCTTAAACACCATCACTGTTTGTCTCTCTCTCCACGTTTATTGGTTAGAAAAATTATGGAACTGTGGGACTATTTATACCATCATTTTGGCCACAAAAAACCAACACGTTTTAAGACCAGAATGTGACCTGGTACGTAGGATAAGGGATTGTTCTTGAACGTGTTTGTGAATTTCCTGAGGCGTTTTCCTGGAATTGTGATAATGTTAGAATATTCCACTGACCCTCCGGCGCACATGCTGAGTCTTGCCTGTGGAGCTGTGTTATTTCCCAGTGTGGTTCCCGACAAGTCAAGGAAGAGGTGCCGTAGCAGCATTAGTGCTCTCAGAGCCACGGCTATTATTGCTGCCACCTAGTCTGGCACATGGGGTTACACATGCAGGGCCATGCTGGATCACATCTGTAAACTAAGCTCATGGCCTTAAGAAATGTATATAAAATAAATTTAATGAACTAATGTTGGAAATGAATGCATGAGGACAGAGAGGGGGTGGGTTAGGGCTCTGTGTTTTGCTGTGGCATACAGCTAGCTGTATTCTCACTAGCAGGTTTATGCAGAGGTGTAGCGTGCTGATTGAGTGCTGGGGTGGAGAGGGGAGGAGAGGTGCCATAGGGGTATGCCAGCTATTGTAGACTGAGGTGAGGGAATGTGGATGAGGAGAAGACTTACCTTCCCAAGCTACTTCTGCAGTTGCTGTAGCAGCAGAAGCTCCACTCAGGCCACGGGAGCCCCATAGTCCCTCATTCACTCCCCACCACTCTGTACATATTGGGTGCTGTGCTGTGCCTACTCTGACTAAGGCTCCCCTGGGTGGAGAGATCATGATCCCGCTTGCTCCACGCACTCCCACTCCCTAGACAGTGCTTGGTGTGGTGTTGCCCTGTCTAGCTCCTGTGGCTGGGCAAGGATAGCTTTGCACATAGCTATCCCTGCCATGGCAAAGACTCCCAGGGTGGGATTCTGGTGCCGTCTCCTAGCCAGTGCTCCTCTTAACCCCCTAGTTAGCTTCTGATCTCCATAGGATTTGCTTACAGGTTTCATTGGGCCTTTACTTATAACAGGTTTACTTGGATTTTTGTGCTGCCCTGTTGTGGTCATTGAAATGGTGGTGTTGTGTATACCCCCAGGCTAGGTACAGACATACAAAAAGCCTGAAGTGGAATTAAGTTACACGGCTTTCTCTATGTGGCGTAGTTTAGGTCAGTACTGAACAGAACACACGTTCACCCATTGGTGCTGGGGTGGCGGGGGGTGGGGGCAAACCTTAGATCAGGTTCTGCCATTTTAAACCAGTCTGTGTGCTGAACTTCTGTTCTGTTATGGGTCTAGTCTAGTTTCCAATCACTTATACTAGTAGAAATGTAATTACTGCACTTGGCCCCAAGTACGATAGAAATTGAAAAACACAAAACCCATTCTAGGCCAACACCCTGTCCAGTGATTGTGACACTTCTTCTTGAGAGGTGTTTATACAGTATGATACAGGATGCAGGTGTCTCTGGACACTGTTTTATATTTGATTCATCATTGTCACCCATACTAACCTTCCTAGTCTAGTTGCCTATAAATTCCTTTAGATTAGTTGTTGCCTGAAGCTGCTGAGGAAAAGGAAAATAGAATACTTAAGAGAAATGCAGAAAATCAGCCAAAGTCAAGCAAATAAGAAAGGGGGCTGGAAACCCTGCTCAGTCCTGAGAAGGAGAAAACTTCTGAATAAGTTCAGAAAAGCACATAATGATGAATGTTCAGACAGCTGATCAGTTTAAAAGCAAAACAGTTTCTGATGATAACTAAATGAAGTAGAGTTTATGTTAAACAGTGGGATTTGAATGCTAGGAGGGCAGTCCCACCTGAGTGCTGGAGCTAGGTGTGGGTTTTCCTTCTTTTTAGCCCCGTACAATTGTCTTGTTTCCAGTGATACTTCTCCCACCATGTCTATCATATGACTGCTAAATGAGCAATCTTCTCTGCACTAACCAGTTTAGTGCAGCACTGGCCATAGGGCAATAAACTCTACCTAGAGAATGTATTAGTGCACCCAGGATAGAATTAATCCAAATATACTACCTCCAGAAGGTAAGGCATACAGAGAGAGCACGCTGTACCTCAGTATAACACACCCATAATACATACAGGGCCAGTATAGATGTCTGTAGTGTGGGAATGAGCTACTGGTGTTTTTCCTTCCCCTGGGATGCTGCCCATCACTGCCCTGTGGGAATGGTCTGATACGGAAGGCCAATACACTCATTCGTATAAGTCAGTGATGTCAAATACTAAAGAAATCCCCAAACATCTGACCATTAACAAACAGAGGTTGTCCAGGAGAGAGAATATCACTGCTTCTGATGGATGTGCCCATGTACCTGTTTATGGCCCACTGCAGAGCTTATGCCTGCCTCTTCCCACAATTTTATTTCACTATCCACTGTGAAGAAAAAATAGAGCCCTGCATTCAGTAATACTATTAACTGAGTAACACCCAAGGCTTGGGAGTTCTGTTCCTCCTAAAGCCAGATCAAACAAATTGTTATCTGAACTTAAAAATGGCATTCAGCCCAATGTAAAATGTAATCTTTTTGCAACACAACACAGACAGCTAGCTGTATAAAACCTGATGAGTTCCATTTTCTATTGCACTTTAAAATAAAAGTATGACTTTTCCTAGGATTTAGATGTGAACTTTGTATAATTGGCTTATATTGGTTTCCCTGTGTGTCAGAGTTAGCTATATCTTTATCAGTAATCTAAACATACTTTTCAAATGCTTTTAGAATTTGTCTACATATTCATTAATGTGCCATAATTACAGTGCACTAAGTTTAGTACCTGTAATCACAGGTACTATCTTAATGCGCTGTTATCAGCGCTACCATGCATTAGCACTGGTACACACTTTTTAAGCGATGCTGTTGCACAGAAGACTAATTCTACTGTGCATTAGCACATTAGCATGGTTTTTTCATGCTGCACCAGTGTGCAGTAGAATTAGTCTACTGTGCCATTAGCATCTTGTATAGATGTGCCCACAAAGTCTGGTTATGTAAATGGGACCAAATAACTTAAAGTAATTGCTGTTGTCCTGATCACACAAGGACATGGCACTCTCTTAGGAAAGAAATCCAGGAAAAAGAATTTACTAAGGTTATATAACTTTCTTCTGTTGCTTCCATTTCCAGCTTTTCATTTCCATATTATTTTTCCCACTTCGTCTCCTTCCCCATCCATACTACTTGCAGGCACAGTAAGAGTTAGAAATTTTTTTCAAGCATTCTTGCACTCAGGTCTGGATTCTCAGGTTTTTAAAAGATAACCTGCCTGGTTCTCTTGACCCCTTTGCCATAGGCAGAGGGAAAACAAATAATTGCGGGGTCTGAGTGCATGCATGCATGTGTGCCCCCCCAACAAGTCTGTGGGGGAAAGGGTGGAGGGAAGGGAAAGGGCTGTGGAGGTGGGGGATGGAGGCAGGCAGATTGAGGCCCCAGTGGGGAGGGAGGGAGCGAGGCACAGGCAAGAGCAGGGGCTGGGGTCAGTGGGGCCCCAGCCAGGCTGAGTAGTGGGACAAGTTGAGGCCCAGGGTGCATGTGCCCCCGATCTGTGCATGCGACAAAGGCGGCTGCCGCTGTGCGCTGTGCTTTGAGACCCACTACCCCAAGAGCTGCACAATGCCATGTGCATCCCAACGCCAAGTAGGCAGGGATTGCAGTGCAGCTGCCGGAGGGAGCATAAATGTTCCTACTTTAAAGCTACTTTAAAAATGTTTTAGTTAGCACAGTATTGTTACTGGTTAAATGGAGCATAACTTAGATAAAAACAGTACCGAGAAATACTCAGAACTAAGGGCCTTGGCACAAATTACCTTAAACACCGCAAAGGCATTTAATATGAGAGTAGTCAATTAGTTAAGGGGTATTAAATGGCCGTAAGTCCCTCTAAATGTTTTAAAGATAACCCACTCAAAAAGGTGTTTACCTTGGAAATGTTTTACCCATGCCATTCCAGGGTATTGTCTGAATGGGCATGGGAGGTAAAATGCTTTATTTTCATTCCTTCCAGGGTACATAGCTCCCAGCTGCTCACTCCTTCCTACCCTCCAAAACTCTAATGGTTTCCTCTCTTTTTCCTACTGAGAGGAAGAGGGAGGTGAGGGAGGGAATGGGGCTAGAGCTGGGGCTGGGGCCAGGGCAGGCGCTGCATAGCTGGGGTGGGGCGTGAGATGGAACTACTGGTGGCATGTCTGGGGGGTGCCTGGCATGGGGAGGGGGTGGCGGCTTCTGCCACAGCACGCATTCCAGGAGGCATGGGGGGCGTGTGCCCCTGGATCTGTGTGGGGCGAGAGTGGGCTGCCACTGCGGGCTGGACCAAGCCAGGCTCTTCCTGGAGAGGGGTTGGGCTGCGTTGTGCTCAGGGTGGGTGGCGGTGGCACTGGGAGGGGGGCTACAGTGAATTTTGGGGTGGCTGCAGCCCCCCCATAGCCCCTTTCCCAGGACTGCTGCTGCTCGCCCCAAGTGCTGCATGGCTCAGCCCCCCGCTTCCCATGAGGAAGAGCCCAGCACAGCCCCAGCCCCAGCCCCAGCCCACAGTAGTAGTCCACCCTTTCCCCGTGCAGATCTGGGGGCACATGCTCCCCATGCTTCCTGGGGTGTGCATAGCAGCAGGAGCCACAGCCCCAGACAAGCCATTCATGGCTTAGTCCCATGCCCCTCTCCAGATGTGCAGCACCTGCCCCTCCCCCAGCTCCACCTCCACTCCTTCCTTCACTGCTGCATGTGCACCCCTACATACCCCTGTTATAAATGCCAAAGGCCAGGGCCAAGCTGCCTTGTGGCCCTACCACTGGGCCACATTTGGGGGTTTAAATGGTGGAGAATGCAGGCAGGGGCAAATATGGGGTGCCTTAAAACCCTAGTTCCCACTGCCTTGTGCGTTACCCTTCATTAAATAAAAGGCAAAGGAAAGCATACTCCAACAAAAAAAACCCTTGGCAAAAACCAAGGGAAAAATGTGTGGCAAAATACATCTTGGTGCCACATTAAAAGAAAAGCAAAATAAATAAATAAATACAATTTTGCTTTAGAGCAAAAAATATATATAGCAACCTTAAAAAAAAGTTGTAACTTAATTTCAAAAAGTATCTAAAATGGTTAAGTAAAATACCTTCTATTGCTGGTCCCATAAAAATCAGTAGCAAAAAAAAATTAACCCCTGTGCTAAAAACTGTAAATGTTTGAACAAAAGTAAAGCTTAAAAAGCCTAATAAGCAAGCAGCTTTGCAAAAACTGTTAACGTGTTAGTGCAAAACAAAACGTGTAAGCAGTGTGGTATGTTTGCTCTGTGTATGTCTTGCACAGCAAAAAAACCCTGCTAAAAGTGTACCTGCAATCTCATCGGTAAAGGAGGTAAAAAATGTTTTTTTTACCTCCCTCACTCACCAAACATTGTGTAAATCTTTTTTTTAAGTGTTAACAGTTTATTAAAACAAACAAAAAATGGTTCTAAAAACTCAGTGTCAGCTATTAAGGCTCTTAGTGTAATTAATAAAGTTAATCAAAACAAGTTAACAAAGGCATTTCTTAAAACACAGGCAAAAAAAAAAAATTAAATGTGGCAAAATACAGGCATATATTTTAAATAAAAAAACCAAACTTTCCTCCCGCCCACAAAGACAATATAAATATTTACTAAAGGCTAAAATAAACTATCTACTATAAGTTATAATAAATGGTTTAAATTAAAAAATAATAGTATAAATATTTAATATGTATAGTTTCCTGATTTTGGTCTCTTTTAAAACATCAAAGAAAATATGTTAAACAAATACACTTTTTGCCTATTGCTTTTAATCTTTTATATTTTCATAAGGTTTGCATTGCCTTAAGAAACTCCATTTTCTATTGCTCTGTAGCTTAACATAAGTGCTCATACTTTTACTCTTTGTATGCTGTATGTGAAAAAAAATGGGTAAAATTATGGCTGTGAAAAAGAAAAACATCAGCTGGTGACTGGCTAAAAAATACAAACAAATAAAAAAACCAAACAATAAAATCCGCCCCAAAACAGCAAAAGAAAAATGGCAATCAATCTTCAAAAAGCCCACAGTAATAACCCAGCAAAAGCCAAAAAAACCTGGGTAAATTAAAAAGGCTATAAAAAATGGGGCAAAATATATCAATTTTGGGTCTTATTCTGCATGTCATCCTAAAGCATCAGTTTGCCTAATGGGAAGAATCGGCAAAAGCCCGATCAACTTGGCTGGCTACTAAGTTGATCCAAGCACTGATAAAACTGGCAACGTATATCAGCACAAAACAAAAATTGGAGTATAAATATGGTGTGTGTATGTGTTTGTATTAAGCACTTAATCAAGAAATGCAGCATCTTGCCTTATCCTCCCTTATAATCAGGGATCCAGGTTTTCCATTTCACATGGAAAAACAGAGAAAACCACGGATTTCCCATTTTTATCAGAGAAAATGCAGATTTTCCCTTTTAGAAGAGAAACCCACGGATTTCTCCCTTTGCAAAGAGTTTTGCAGGCTAGCAGAGTTCTAGCCTACAAGAGCTGTTTGCAAAAGGGGCAGAGAAACCCTCAACCCTGGCCGGAGGTGAAGGGAGAGGGGGAAGGGTGGGGCCCAACACTCGTACTTACCGGAGGCTGCTTCAGGCTCACTCTTCTTGCTGTAGGTAAGTGGGGCTTGATGGTTGCAGGGAAGGGCTGTGGGGGAAAGCTGGCTAGGGGCTGAGGGAATGGGGAGGTTTGCAGCCGGCTGGGCACTTTGGCCGGGATGGGGTTTGTAGCCTACCTGCTCCTGCCCCGAGTGCTTGGCTGGCTGCAAATCTCTGCCACTCCTGGCCAGCTGCAAACTGGAGTGCCTGGCAGGCTGCAAACCTCCCCTCTCCCTCATCCCCCAGACAGCCTGGGCACTCCAGCTGGGAGCGGGGGAGGTTTCCAGCCTCCCTGCTTCCTGAGCCCCCAGCCAGCTTGGGCACTCTCCAGCCAGGCACTCTGGCCAGGAGAGGGTTTGCATCCTTCCCACTCCCAGCCAGAGTGCTTGGCCGCCTGCAAACCCCATTGCTCCCAGCCAGCAGCAAACCCCCACTCCTGGCCAGACTGCCCAGCTGGGGAGTGTCCCAGCTGGCTGGGGGCTGAGGGAGTGGAAAGGTTTGCAGCCAGCCCACCACTCTGGCCAGGAGGAGTGGGGAGCAGTTTGCAGCCTCCCCCACTCCCTCAGCCCCTAGCCAGCTTGGGCACTCTCTGGCCAGGAGGAGAGGTTTGCAGCCAGCCAGGATCTCTGGCTGGGAGTGGAGAGACTGCAAACCCTCCCTCCCCGGGCTGCAGTGCATGGCCAGCTTCAAAGCCTGGGTCACAAATGCTGCACTCCCTGCGCTACTGCCCCACCTCCCCCCCAGGCCCTCCAGAGCGCAGCATGTGTGACTGGTGCAACAGGGCACAGTGGGGCCATGCATGAAAGCTGCCTGCCTCTGCAAGCTCTGTGCTGCCCTGGCCATACTTCCTCTGAGTGCATGAGGGCACACCTGCCCTGACCCCACCCCTCACACAGATCTGGGGGGCACAGGTCCCCCCTGTGGTGGGCCAGTAGGGGGTGCTACTGCGCTGACCCACATACCTCACTGTGCCTGACCACCTTCCAGGCTCTGAGTGCCTCCCTGGGGGCGCCTCATGTCTGGCTGACCTCCTTCCTGGAGCACACCCATTAGCCTGGGAGTATAGCTGCCACCACCCAGGGACTGGCCTGATCCTGGCACTGTGCCCCCTTGAAACCACAGACCTAATAGCCCTCAAGGGTACTTGACTCACTTCAAGAACTTGGGGTGCTTCCCTCAATCTGAAGCACAAATAGTGGTCTCCCTTAGTCAGCCAAACCACGGGGACCCCAAGGCATGCCAGGGGTGGGCAAAATACAGCCCACGAGGCCATTCTATCAGGCCTGTGGGGCCCCTAAAAAATTTAGAAAATTAATATTTCTCTTTCTTTGGCTCCTGTTGAAAATGACAGGAACCAGGAGCAGTAGGACCCAGGGGAAGCCCAGCGGGCTCCCACAACAGCAGGGCCCATCCAGCTCCAGCCGGAAGCCCCAGCAGGGGCTTCTGGCCTGGGACCACATGGCTGTTCTGGTGCAGGAAGCTCAGGTAAGGGGCAGTGTGGGGGGGGCGGGGAGAAGGACAGGGAAGGAGCCTGGGGAAAAGCAGCCCCTCCCCTGCCCCATGGCTGGTGCTCCATGCTTCAGTCACTCACAACTCATGCGAGGCTGTCCTGAGCAGGCACAGGCGGACTCAGGAGGGGTGCTGGCCATGGGGCGGGCAAGGGGCCACTCTTCCCACACTCGGTACCAGCTTGTAACCCAGCCCCGCTGCCAGCCTGGGCCCCGCGATGACTCTGGGCTCGCCGGTCAGGGCTGTACTTGGCGGCAGCAGCTGTGGCCCCCCCACTTGCCACGCCAGGCAGTGTTTGCTGCTGCTGCCCGCCCACAGCTCATGCGCTGGGCAGCAGAGGTGGCAGTGACAAACACTGCCCCATAGCCCTGGCAGCTGGGGGGCAGGGGCAGAGACTGTGGGTGGGGGGCAAGGGGCACAAACAGGGATGGTGGGCTGTGGGGGGCTGCTTCCACCTCCCCCTGCCACTTCGGGCCATGGCCAGGGCCTGGGCTGTTCCCCACCTGCCCCCATGGCTTCGGGCCAGCGCCCACAACCACAGCAGCAGTGGCGACAGTGGCTATGGTGGGGTGCAGCCACTGGTAAACCCCCTGTCCCCATCTCACTCCCCTCTCTCCCCTTTTTCCTGCCACCTCCCCTCCCTGCTGGCTGTTGGAGGGGGATGCGCCAGACCCTGGCTCCAAGAAGCAGACTTGGGGGGGCAAGGCAGCCTCACTCTGCCTCCAAGAAGCAGGGGAAGGGGGTGGGGCCAGGGGAACTGGCCTCGCCCCCCTCCCCTCTGGCCCCGCAGTCTGCATTGTCATGGAGGTGCTCCACTGCCTGTCTCTGTCTGTGTAGAACAATCTGACTGGTTGCTGAGACAGCCAATCAGAGTGCAAATAAAGCATTATGGACAGACAGACAGACTAAGGCTTTTATAATATTAGAATTTTTGGCAGCACATAGTTAGCACCTGTTATTAAAACTACTGAACTATTTCTTTAGAAATAATCAAACCTTTATCTTTGTGTGTGCCTGCTTCAGATACTCAGCTGAGCCATTTGAAGTGTCATCATGATGGCCAAAATGGCTGAATGACAGAGTTATTGAAAAAACAGGGTGTAGAGAAAATATTATTGTATGTCAGTTTTTGCACGTGAAATTAAGATCTTGCTCACTTTAGTTACAGCTTTTTATCACATTGTAAACACAGAATAGGTAAACATAGCATAAAGTTTTATTAGCTTGTGTTATGGATGTACATATGCATTATTTGCTGTACACATATGTACATCCAATGAAGTTTGTATATGATCCAGCCGTTCAAGGGTATGTTACATGCAGTCTGATACTGCTTCTAAATTGCTGTAATTTTATACAGAACTGCATAGATGGCTTTCCATTTATTTTTACGTAGCCATTTTCAGTGGTAGCACATTTATTTTTGCATATCACTTTCAAGCAAACATGCTAAAAAATAACTAGAAGAAACTTTCATTTTAAGTCACAGTAACTTTGTTGCAGGTTCTCTAATAGACATTTTCTTTTTCTTCTTTAAAACACACAAGGTCACACTTGTAATAAGACAAACTGTTGCTAATAGGCCAAATAATATCAAGATTATAGTTGAGACACTATACTTATTATTAGCAGTTAGAAAGTCCATTGGGGGAACAAACATTACTGCTTGTGCTATATTAGATACAGCAGAGTGCAGAGAGGCTTTGTCAATGGCGCGCACAGCCAAATAAATTATTGTGGTGTTTCTTGTTGCAAAAGCTGCTGGTTTAAATGAAAATATTTCCTTGTAACCCGCATACTGAGGAGTCAAACTGGAGGTATTCACAACAGTAGCCTCATCAAAGTTGTCTCTTAATTCCAGAGGACTTTCACTTGTTCGTATTTCATAAGTTGCAGCTGAAAATGGAAATATGTTAAAACAGATTTTGCAGCATACAGGCAGCACCTCCCATCAAAGATATTGATCTGTTTCCTTACAAGTAATCAAGTCATTACCTTCATGGCTGCCTTTTTCAGCTAGACACTTCAGTCATTTGAAGTGTAAAGATAGCATGTAGGACAGACTCTTAATAACATATTTACTCACATACCACATGCACATTTCCCCATAAATCAGCCCTCCAAAATTAGGGTGCATAACTTAAGTGGGGCATTTCTGTGAACATTAGAATTTCTGTACCAAAATTCCAAGGAGGAATAAAATGGTGGCTTTCAACCTGTGGTCTGCGGGCCCCTGGGGGTCTGTATACTATGTCTCGGAGGCTGTGAAAGATGACTATGATCAATGAAAAGTATGTGAATACCCATACTTACAATTAAAAGGGCTCCACATCTCCATTCAAAATTTCCAAAGGGGACCACACCTTCATTTGAAAATTGTTAGGGGTCCACAAATGAAAAAAAAGGTTGAGAACCACTGAAACAGAAGCGTGGAGATGCTATAATGGATGCCATGTTTCTCTCCCTGGTGGCCCAAGTGGGAAAGGGTAGAGTTCACTGTTCAGGGTCAGAGCTATGGTGTTAAGCTGCTACCAAATCAACAGCAGCTGTAAGCAGGTTAAAACTGTAACTTCTGCTGATGCTGTACTTGATGCTGACTCTACAGCAGGGGTGGGCAAAATATGGCCCAGGGGCCGGTTCTGGCTCACTAGGCCATTCTATCCGGCCCATGGGGCCCCTAAAAAAATTAGAAAATTCATATTTATTTGCTCCTAGCTGCCTGTCAAAGATGACATGAGCAAGGGGCAGTAGGACCCAGAGGAAGCTAGTGGCATGACCCAGCAGCAAGGCCTGCCCAGCCCTGCCCCTCCCCCCCCCCAGCAGAAACCCCTGTCTACCAGAGCTTCTGGCCTAGGACCATGGGGCTGTTCCTTTTTTCCCTGCGCCGGAAAGGGAAACGCATCCCTCAACAGTTTGCCAAAACTCAGTAAGTGGCCCATCACCTGAAACAATTGCCTGCCCCTGCTCTACAGTCAGGTCTCTTGAAAAAACTTTTTTTTCTTCATTCTGCCTTCCCAAAAATGAGAAAATACAGTGGTTACTCGGATAAACTGAGAACCAGTAAACTTGATTCCACTGCTCAAGTCACAGATTAAAAACTTTGAAATTAATAGATCCTGGCATCTTATTATCAACTTAGCCAAAGCTTCCCAGGTCTATGACTTCCCTGAACTTGGCCTAGTCATTTTACTGCATAGACCTCTTCATTCTGAGCCAACAGCTTTCTCTTTTTATTTCCACACTTTTCACTTGCACTTAGAGAGCACCTGACTCCCTTCTGGATGGGCAAGAAGACTTTAGAACTAGAGAAGGTTAATCTTCCCATCAAAACTGCAAACACCGTTGCTGCAATTCTTTCAAAATGTGTCTGCAATCAAACCCAAACCGAGAGTTAAATTCACTGAAACTTATGGCAAAACCAGATTTCATCCCAGGTCATGTGTAATGAAATATGTTTCAGACTGTGTGATGAGGTCAATCTGCAAAACTCATTTATAATTAATAGAAAGGTAGTTCATTATGCTATTTTATTTAGTTCAAAGGACTAGAAATATTGAATCAGATTTTCAAAGACTGTCTTTACTTGCTGACGACACAAAACTTGGAAGCACATTGTCTATACAGGAAAATTAGTGCTGGTATTTACAAAGGCACTCTTTACATACATAAAATGGTAAATTTTGAGCCCAGGCCCAGGGAATAGCTAACCTGCTCTATTGCAATTTCATTTCACTGAAAAGAGCAGTAAATAAACCACAAAACCTACCTTGTCCCTGGTCAAGATCATCCCCTGGTGCTGTCCATGATAAAATGACCTTATCATCTTCTGTTTTGGCACTAAGATCAGTAATTTTACATGGTGGAAACACATCAGTATCAGGGCCCGCTGGTACTTCAGACACTGTAAAGTAACCTCCTGAGATGGTTCTACTGAAGCCTCCTACTTTGATTTGAATATCATCATTACTCGTAACTGAGGGTCTTGGTCCATTCATCTGGATCGTACCTAAAACCCATGCACAAACATACAAAAACAAACAAAAAAACCTGGATTTGGGTTGAACTTTATGTATTACAGAATTCTGCAGATAAAACAAACACAGTTCTGACCTCACTTATATTGCAATAAATCCAGAATTAAGCTTTTAAATTGAACCTTATGGAGTTACGAGACCAGAATTACTCACAGCATGGTGTCTATTTCTCTACATCTTTGAGAACGATGAATTAATATGAATGAAAATAATATCAAAGGGAAGAAAGTGGGACTTAAAAATACTGAACGGAGTTTTACCTTTGCTAAACCTTCTTTAAGATGAAGATTGATTATAATTACAGTGTGATTATTGCTAGACATAAGAGGCAGAACTTCCAAAACCTGATCTTTTCACAGACATAACTTAAACTCCTCTGGGAATGAATTATCTTCATTCCCACCTAGATTATATAATTGTGTGATTATATAATTGTTTAAACAACTATTTAAGCAATGTTGTTTGATTAAATAGTTGTTTAAAACCTACTTTTACAAATGTTTTAGTTAGCACAGTATTGTTACTTGTTAAACGGAGCATAACTTAGATAAAAACAGTACCTGAGAAACACTCAAAACTAAGGGCCTTGGCACAAGTTACCTTAAATACGACAAAGGCATTTAAAATGCGAGTAGTCAATTAATTAAGGGGTATTAAATGGCCATAAGTGCCTTCTAAATGTTTTAAAGATAATCCACTCAAAAAGAGGTTGATCTTGGAAACGTTTTACCCATGCCATTCCAGGGTATTGTCTGAACAGGCACGGGAGGTAAAATGCTTTATTTTCATTCCTCCCAGGGTGCACAGCTCCCAGCCACTCTACCCCTTCCTACCCTCCAAAACTCTGATGGCCCCCCCTCTTTCTCCCACTGAGAGCAACTGCTCTGGGCTTAGTTGCAGAGAGACCATGGAGCCAGGGAGGCCTGCTTCCTCCAGCTGCATAATCTGGCTTCAGGAAGCTCAATTTTAGCCTGAGTACAAAGCCTTGCGGAGGTTGATTCTCAGGGGCTCTGTGCTTTGGCTGAGTCCCTGCTGCTCTACTCTGAGCAGGGAACAGCGTCCCAAAGAAGCAGGCTCCCTGAGGCTCTGTGCTCAGGCTGAAACTGATGCAGCTGCTCCAAGAGCAGCTTAACCCCTGGGGGAACCTAGAGCTGGAGAAAGCATCTTTTCCAACTCCATGGTCTCACCATCTGGGCCAAGGCAGCTCCTCACTCTCAGTCATCGCAGCTGCTCCTAAAACCACTCTCCCCTCTAACCCAATCCTAATTCACTGAGACATTCAAAATGTTACTCCTTTAATTAGTTTTTAATTTTTTTGTCACTTCTTTCTCTTTATTTTGCCCCCCCCCCCAACAGTTTTTCAAGTTTTCTCTCCTCCCACCCTCTGCTCTGGCTGGGCTCCTGCTGGATGTTGAGGGATGACCCTATGCTGGTTTCTCTGTCTCCCACAACCTCCCCCTTCCTCTCTCAGCACAGGGGAGGAGCAGAGTCTGGGCCATGACGTTATGACATGAGAACATTCCACAGATGTCTGATGTTACACAAGTAACCTGTGCCAAGACATACACCTGCAAAGATCCCTTAACCAAACTACCATTGCTCTACTGCCCTCTACTTGAACTTGTGAGTGAACTTGATGTAACTGTTTCTTCACGTATAAACACTGGAATTTTACATGGCTCACCCCACGTTGCTCTGTCGTACCATTTTCTACGTAGCCTGGTATATACAAAGCGTGACTCCATGGCATTGCAGCATGCAGTTTGATGATCTTGCCAGCTTGAACCTGGACTTTCAGGTTGTATTTCCCATTTCCAGGGAAAGAGAACAAATACTTGGAATAGACCCCATCATTCTGGACAACATCTGACCCTAAACATTAAACATGACAGAATTAACAGGCCACTAAAACATTGCATTTATTTAGCTCTTCTTCTTTCTTATAAAGCAAGCATAAAACAGGAATGCCAGGCAAGTTTTCCTCTGCTTATCCCCTTGCTGCTTCACTGTCTTTAGTGACACATAACAATTAGGAAGTAGTTCATACTAGACAGTCAATAAAGTGGTTTGACATTGGGATATGTACTGAATGCATTGCATAGTGACTGAAACAGCTCCAATTTCATAGTATGAGAATCATTGGTGGAATTTCATGTCCTGAGGATACTACTTCCATGCATGGATGAACAAATAAATATATCATTAAATGCAAGTAATTTACAGTAAAAAAGAGCAACATAACCAAATCACAACATTCAGTTATAGGACAAGGCAAATGCTATCCTTCAAGCAGACTGGAAGGTGCATCTAAAGGGAACTCTTAGAGAATCCTTGTTAATAATCTTCCAAAAATGTACAGAAAATTTGGGTTAATTTTACTACCTTTGATGGAGATTCTTTTCTTTCTGAAAATAGCAAAACCGTTCCTTTTAGAAAGAAATTATTCCAGGATCTCACAAAGAACAAACTCTGAAATGTACCTCATAAAAGATATTTCAAAAATTTTAAGAAAGTTTCCATTTAACTGTTCCTTCTTCCCTTCTATGCTTCAAATAATACCAGTTAAACATTATAGTCTATCATCAGACTGCTTAGAATATTTTTCATGAAGTAAATCCAGATCGTAGAATCATAGTATCATAGGGCTGGAAGGGACCCCGAAGGAGCATCAGGTCCAGCCCCCTGCATGAGCAGGAAAGACATCTGGGGTAGGTGACCCCAGCCGGTGACCAGTTTTCTCTTGAAGACCTCTAGGGTAGGTGATTGCAGCACCTTTGGGAGGAGCTTGTTCCATAGTCTGGACACCCTAGTTGTGAAGAAGTTTTTCCTAATGTTCAACCTAATACTATCCTCCAGCAGTTTGTGGCCATTGTTTCTAGTTTTTCCCCAGGACGCCCTGGTGAAGTTGTTCACCAAGCCCCTGATGTATGCCTCTGATATAGTGGTGAGCTGCAATCAGGTCCCCTCTCAGCCTTCTTTTCTTTAGGCTGAAGAATCTGAGATCCATCAGCCTCTCCTCTTATGGCATGCCATGCAAGTCACTGATCATGCGGATGGCCCTATTCTGGACCCTCTTGAGCTTTAGCATGTCCTTGTTGAAGTGTGGCGCCCAGAACAGGATGCAATACTCC